GAGAAAGAGAGGGGGAAAAACAAGTGAGAGAAACAGCTGTGAGACCGCCAAGGTGAGCTGAGGAGGGGAAGGAGGTGCCACAGGCACTGGAGCAGAGATTCCCCTGCAGTCCATGGGAAAGGCCATGGTGGATCAAGAGGAGGATGATTCCTGAAGAAACCACAGCCTATGGAAAGCCCATGCTGGAACAAGGTAAAAGTGTGAGGTGGCAGAAGCTGCAGAGAAGCTGTGGATGAGCCCCAGCCCCCATTTCCTGCGCTGGCTAAGGGAAGAGATGGAGGAGTTGGGAAGGAAGGAATGAAGTTGAGCCTGAGAAGAAAGGGTTCTGATTAATCTATCTTTGTTTTTCAGAGTCCAAACATACTTTAATTGGTAAAAAAAACCCTAATTTTCCCCAAGTCAAATCTATTTTTCTCATGAAAATAATTGGTAATTAATCTCCTTTCTGGGTATCCTGACCCAGGAACATTTCTGACTTATTTTCTCCTCCCATCCTGTTGCTGAGGGTTAGTGAGTGCTGTGGTGTGACACTGGCCAAACTCCAGGTACCCATGGAAATCATTTGCTTACCCTCTTCTGCTACAGTTAGGCAGAGGAAAGGGAAAAAATTAACAAAGGGCACATGGGTTGAGATAAGGATTGAGAGAAAAAACACTCTAGGGGCAAGACAGGTTCAAATTTAAAGATAAAAAGTAAATTTATTATTAACAGAGTCAGAGGAGGATAATGCGAAAAAAAATAAGCCTTTAAAACACCTTTTTCCCATCCAACCCCTCCCTCTTTCCCACTGACAGGGAGACAGGGTGTGGGGGATTTTGTCAGTTCATCAGTCACTATCTTCTGCTCCCCAAGGAAGAGAAGTCTTTTTTCTTTTATGCCTTGGTTTTCTATTATGCCGTGTGGTCCCCACCATGGTCAAACTGTCATCCCAGAACTGTTGTGGTATATGTCACTCGTCCATGGGGTGCAGTCTTTTAAGGATAGGCTGCTCTAGTTTGGAAACAAGGGCGCTCTCTTAATCTCTGGAAGCAAGGGCCCCTCTCTCTCTATTCAGGTGTCTCTCCACACCACGGCTTTCTCTGACATCCACCCCCTCTGGCATGAACACTCTTCCTAGGGGCTGCAAGTGGATTTCTTCATTCCCTGTAGGCATCATGGATTACAGGGGAACAGTTTGTTTTACCATAGTCCTCACCATGGCTTGCAGAAGAATCTTGGCTCTATGATTGAAGTAGATTGTCCCCCTCTTTTTTTTTCCACTGACCTTGGTGTTGCCGAAGTGTTGCTTGGTGTTGTTTTCCCTCACATGTCTTCACTTCCTTCTCTGACTAGAAGAAAAGCTGCTGCTTGTAGGTACCATTTTTATTAAGTTCCACTAATTTAAAGATTTTTTGCAAAGTATTGGAGAGCCGAGAAGTGGATCTTGTCTAAGCTCTGCATTGGGGAATCACTCGTTATGTTTCCACTGCCCACCACCATTGTCTGGGCAGCAGTGGCTGCTGTGACACTGGTGCTACTCAACGCCTCTCTCCTTGCGAGGTGCCAGGAAGGGGAAGCTGCCACTCCTGCTGCTCCTGCCCTTTTACCTGCACTGCAGCTGGCTAGGAGTGGACAGGCAGGCAAGACATAGAGGCACATAGAGGTAGTCTGACAAATTTTTCTATTAAAGACTTTTCTGTAAGTGTTTTTTGGATTAGTACAATATAAAGATCTTGATAAAATACATTTCAAGTTGATGTACTTGAAGCTTCCTCACATATTTGCCTTTTCTTATAGTTACAACCCACCCCAGAATATGAGTATGACCCAATTTCTTAGTAATAGAAACCTTGGGGGAGTTAGGGTTAAGCAAAACTGAATGACTGGTGTTTATATGTGTAGGGTTTATTTTAGAACAATTGCATTGCAAAGAAAAGCTTGTATGTAGCCTTTTTGATTGTTATTAACTTCAGGAATATAACAATGTAAAAGCATAAAAGGAACACTTTTGAAAATGTATACAGAAAAGAAAAAGAAAATGAGAAGATGAGAGTAGAAAGATATAACCGCCCATGGATCCAGCAATGAGACTTGATTATCCGTCTCTTGGTCAGAATCACGGTTGCCATCTTGGTCTGTTCCAGCTGGGGGAAGCCCATGAAGCGCCAGCTCAGTGGGTTAACTTAATTTCAGCTTTAGGTGGAAGACCCAGGCACCACCCCTGGAGATGGGCATTTTACATTATTGCAGCTTCATGGGTTTTGCAGTCCTCTGGTGGAAGCCCCCAGAACTGAGTCTAGGCATGCTTCTGGAGCCATTGGTTTATGACACCTTTCAAGACATTGCCTCTCATGTCAGCATGGTTGAGCCAGTTATGCCCCATCAGAAGGGGTGAATACCTTCAGGCCAACACACAGACATCCTCTGTGAATGGCATTGTCCAATGCCTTCCTCAGGGAAGGTAGATGGGAGGAAGTTTTAGAACCGAGTCAGTTGTGAAACAGGAGGACATTAATGGTAAAGAGCACTACCCTTCCTCTGCAGGGTCTGCTTCTTACCTGCCTCCTGCCTTACCTGTCTCAAAACTCAGCACACATATAACTCTTCTTGTCCCCCTTGGGTGTGTGGGTGTGCAAACCTGATGCCTCCTCCACAAATGGCAAGAATGTTTTAAGTCATTAACAATTAACATTCCAGTCTCTCAGAACTGTAAGTCTGTAAAATCTTTCAGTGCATTGACTTAGGGCATAAAAGAATGTATTTGTCTTTGTTTAATGCAAAGTACAATGCCAGCTTAAAAAATGATCTTCTGGTGTTTCAAGGAGCATGCTACAGAAAAAAAATGATTTGGCTCCTAAGAATCCATATTGTAGGAGTGACACTCATAACAGAATCAAAGTGGGTTGGTGTAGAAATCATACCAAGAACTCAAGATGTCCACTCATAGCTCAGATAAGTTCATTTGTATGAACCAAATTCAGACCAAATGGAGAAAACATGAATGAGGGAGAAAAAGCTCTGCACTGATAAAACTTTTTTTGGTCTTTTTATTATGGGGTCTTTTTTTGGTTCTCCCCTGTAATATGAAATGTTGAGGCTAGCTGCTTCTGACTCAAGCTGATTTTCCTTTCTTCCCCTACAATGCTTGCTAGTTTCCTGTAATTTAGCAAGAAATGTTAGATGCAGAAAATACTATAGTGCTATCCAAAAAAACCCCAAGCCCATTCCTTAAAACAAGAACTCTTTGAATCACTTCTCAAAGAAGAGAGAGACATATAAGATTAGAAAATACATTCCTAAATTAATAATGAACTGTCAGAGAGTACACTCCAGATGTAGGGCAGAAGAGATAACCACTCTTATTTATTAAATAGAACAAGAGGCACATTTTCATAAAAACTGCAACTTCTGGTGAAGGTGAGAGAACATACAAAAGCATGAACATAAGCTGTGGCAAGCCTTATGGTAATTCTTCAGTTTGAAGACTGGGGGAAAAATCAACCTGGTTATTTCTGGAATTGGAGTAAATGAGGTGGAAAAGAATAGGAATATTAGGTTGACAAGTACACAGAAGGTAAAAAGATTAGAGCAAACAGCTAATTACCACATGGGAGACATTGTTGCTTAAAATGAAAGGAAGAAATTTCAGAAAGCTTTTTGCTGACTTGTATTGCCTTGACTGTATGCCTTTATCTGTATTTAAAGCTCTTCTTGCTTTGATCTCTGACTCTTCTATTTGTTTTCCAAAGCTCAAAATTGGCAAGAGATGGGGAACCACCTGACTGGTGTAATTGAGGCATGGAGTTCCTCTTATGTGTTTTTGTATATGAAAGTGGTCTTTAATAAACCTAATTTTGCAAAGAACATCTAGTTCAATGACACTGCTCTACTAGTGTTTTGTTTACAGTTATTTATCTTTTGTAGTTCTGGATGCCAATTAATGAATTATAGCTTAATTGTACCATAAATTTCAAGGGCAAGTTGTTTGGTTTTTTTCTTTGGCTTTTTTTTTTAAAGACATGGATTTTCTTAACCCCCTAGAGCTTATAAAATGGCTTTTTTTGGTGGGCTTTTTGTTTATTTCTATCTTTTTAATGATCTGTTCAATGTCTAAGAGGCTCTTTCAAGGTGAAATTTGAACAAAAGCAGGTTTTCTGGAAGGGTTATCCTATACATACTCAATCTCATATCCCTATTTCATAATACAGAAATTAACTAGTGATTAGCTAAACTACCAGTATAGATTTGTTTTTGTGGGACAGTGATGGTGTCTTATATCCTGCTTATGAGAAATTAATCATTAAAAAAACAACTCACTATTATCAGCCAGGCCCAAAAAAATTGTGTTTAGTGATGTTTCAGTAAAGGACCTAAACATTTTTCTTCAATCAATTTTACCCTCAAAAATACCCTGATTTTGGGAAATTATCTTATAAACAATATTGCACTTAATATAGCTTATAGAAAATTCCATTTTGTATGTAAAGGTAAGACTATTAGTAAGAGGGGAAATACAAGGTAAATTTTTTTTGAATCTATTAAATGGGAGTACACTGGTTTTGTTTGTTTTCTAGTCAGTTAATGTTTATAACACTGAACAAAGGACATCCATGGTTTTTCTGAAGCAACACCTGGAGGATAGACAGGATAGTCTAAGCTACATCACATTGTAGGAAGTATCTCTGAGTGAGTCAGGGCCTGAGTATCTACTTCTAGGTGCCCTAAATTTAACTGTCTTCATCTTAAAATTAGTCCTAACACACAAAAACAATTGTCTTTAGTAGGTACAAACAGGTCTTTGTTTCATTGTTTTCTGGAGAGTGCATAGATGTGTGAACATAAGAGAGTTTTAAAGGTCAAGGACATGTTTGAAATTTTGCAGTGAATCTTTAGAGACGCATGCCCATAATGTGCTTGCAGTTCAGATGTAAAAACATGATGTTTATCTTAATGTTCATCACATCTACTGATGGCCTTTATTATAAAAAAATGTTAGTAATTTGTGCCTTTTTATTGCATAGGTTATCTGGATTTCAGCTTCCATCATCTATTGTGAGCACGGGATCTATCCTCACCCTCTGTTTCACCACAGATTTTGCTGTCAGTGCCCAAGGCTTCAAAGCTATCTATGAAGGTAAGAACTCTTCTTACTGGGAGTTCACTGTACTTAATACATGTTTTTCATGTTGAAATGTGATGTTTCAGTTCTGCTTGGGATTTGAGGAATTGACTGGTATGGCATTAACTGTGGTGTTTATTTTGTAGCACATTTAAAATGCTACTTTATCACAGCTGTAATTTTGAATTTTAAATTTGATTTACACTGGTACTGCAATTTCTGATTGATTTTTATTTTTTTAATGAAATTTGTCAGGCCTCCAAAGCTGTATTCAGAAATGGATTCATCTAAATGGTTTTCTTATTATTTCCTAAATTATTTTTTTTGAAGCATCTTTAGGCAATATCTAACTTCAGGGGTGTAATGATAAAAATGAGAGGAGATACAGATCCTAACTCATCTCAAAACTGAATCACTAATCTTGTTGTTGTGGAAAATTAAAAACATGACAACAAAAATATATGTATATATAAAATTAAAGACAAAAATAGTTGAAACTTATTCTGTAGAAGGTGTTAGACTGCAGTGATGACTCAATTTTTGTTAGAAATAAGGACAAGTATTTCTTGTGTCTACCAATGATTGTGCTCATTAAACTGGAATAATACCTTTTGTATAGCTTAAAGTATTACTGGTAATAAGTAATAAATAAGATAATTACTGGTATTAAATAAATGGTTCTATGAGAACTGCAACCTTTGATGGGGAAAGTTAATAGGTACAGTGATATTAAGTCACTTCCTTGTTGAATTATAAGGGTGTTTTGGGTGTAATTCAGGATTTCTTTCAAACTGAGTGTGTGGTGTTGCTTTGATAGTTTTGGGGTTTGGATCTTTTTACTGCTATTTTTTTTTTTAATTCATGGAAAATGCAGGGCTTCTAACACTTAAAGTTATAGAAAGCTCATTTTCAGATTACTTCTCAAACTCCAAGTGATTTTTTTCTGTGGTTTCATAGATCTAATCCTTGACTGATAGTGTTTATTCTGAAAAATTTGCCTACAATCAGTTAAGTGCCTGAAATGTTTTTATTGATGCAGTTGAACTAAATCTAGAAAGTAGTATGGTTTGATGGCAAGTGAGTAAATCCATTACATTGGTCACCACTTTAGAGAAAATCACTGTGTCTTAGAGACCACAGGTACCTTCAAATGCTTGGTGTGCTTTGATCACGTTTTTTCTAGGACTGTTGAAACTTTACCTCCCTTTATTGACAGTGACAACGTCTACTCTATATTGATACGTATCTTTCTTTCATATCTCAGTAATGTTTTGAAATTATAGTGTGTTTTAAAGTCTCTTGAATTCAACATGCATATTGTGAGGATTACATAGATGCGAAAAACAGGGGCATAAGAGGTGTCATGAGTAGCTCAAACTTTTTTGTCTTGAGCTTTTCTCTTTGAGTAGGTAGCTCACAGTATGTCTCTCCTTAGTAGCTACTCCCCCTTCCTTTTTTACCTCAAAGCCTTATCATCTGGTAAATCAGGTAATAAGTCTCTTGGATTTTAACTAATATGGGGACTGTGAGAAATGACTAACTATCATTGACATAGCCTTTATAAGCTTTAATAGGTAAATTGAAAATCAGAAATCATGAACACACTAGGAACTGTTTTTGTTGCCTCAATAGGAAGCTGCTTTCTATGCAACTCTATTATTCTCTTCTATGAGATGCATGCAATAGCATATTTCATCCTTTTATGCAATCTGAGCAGTTTGTTTTTCATATTGAAAAGCACAGTGAAAAAGGCAAAAGGACATCTCTTGACTGTCAGCTTAGGAACACATGCATGGAGCCACAGGCTGTAATATAATGACACTTCCTGCTGGCCTACTTTCTTGTAAAAAACCCAGCAGGAAGAGCTGTAATTAACAGTGACAGACAGCACCACTTTCTGGTTAAACAACACTGCCCCCTTCAAATTTAGGGCTGTAAACCTGGCATTGTCAGTGAACTTTAAATTGACTTCATAACATGACATCCAGCTCTGGAAAAAGTGGTGAATATCACTCAAGTGATGGCATTTCAGTGTAGAGACAGGCAGTGGGTACCAATGGTTCTAGAAAGAATTGTAGCAGTGAAGGGTTAGGTGGTTTTTTATGAAGTCTTGGAGTGATTTCTGCTGCAATGGCTAGCTGATTTAGCCACAGTTTAATAACTTACATAACTACTCCCTAGAACACTTGTTTTTAATAATGACAGCTTCTGGCTTCTGTGTGATATGTGATTTTAAGACAGGTGTTCAGTTCCCCTAGGACAGGGGAATACAGACCAGATATTACCAGTCAGTAAATCCCTTTATAATCACTCTGCCAGCTACCCATCCCCAGCTAGTTTGCCTTCCTGAACTATATGGCTATCCATGGTTTTGGCCAGCTCTTTCATTCTTCTCTTGAGTAAGAGAATTACCGTTCAGTTGGAAGCAAGGGAAGCATTGAAGTGCTACTGAATGCTGCTGCCAGCTGAGAGTCTGGGATATTATGGGCTCAGGATGCAGAGTTTGAAAAACTCAGTAGGGCACTAAACCAGGAAACAAGGCAAGCAAACCACTTCAGTGGTGATGGAATGGCTTCTGAAGTTATACCCATACTTGGTATCCCTGTCAGAGAGAGAACATTACACCCCTATCTCTGGGCTAAGATTCTGACCTCTGCATTTTGCTTAGTATAATCTTCATTTATGACCCCAGTTCCTGTGCAGCAATGACATAACTGGATGCTTTGTGCTTTGAAAATCGAGAAATAAGAATTAACCACATTTTGGTTGGTATGCCTTGAAGATTGGTAGTATTTATGTAACTTAACCTGCTGTCACCCATATACCATGTGGATATTAACATTAACTCAATCAGATCTTTGTGGCAGTAGACCAGAGAGTTTAACAAGACACTAGTGTATTTGGGCAGTTACCAAATTCTTAGGCTGAAATGTAGGTTTCTTCACTGAATCATTCCTTCACCAGATTTCTATGTGTGTTTCTGAGATTCTCTAATATTTTTAACTAATAATACTTTAATTTTCCTCAGTGATCTCATCAGCTCTCTAAGTTCTGGTACTGGTGGAAACCTGAATTGTTCTTATTTTCTAGAAATAAAATTATCTGTGGTAGTTTCAAACATATAATTATGTCAGTGAAAAGAATTATGAACTTCAGAAGTAGTAAGTTCAGTTTATAGAATTAGGCAGCTTAAAGCATTAAATGATTTGTTGACCATTACAATCACTCTTTCGTATATAAACATAATTTTTTAGCAATGGAATTGGAGAATTGAGGGATAGCTCCTTTTTTCTAATATGTGGTTGTTTTCTATAATTGCAGTAGTTTACATCATAGGAAATATCTTTAGGCTTTGCAGGGACTGCAGAAGGAGAAGACAAAGTACTTGGATTTGTGAGATTTTGCTTAATTCCCTGGTAAAATCAGTTTAATTCCTACTTTTCTAAAATGAAGTTAACAAGCCATTTTTTAAAATGGTGCTTTGAGGGCTACATACAGAATTAAAAAATCAGCATTGCTTTATCGTTGTAGTAGTTTTCTTTGGAAAGTCAGAAGTATTCCTTCCATACAGAAAACTTGCTTATGTTTGGCAATAGACAAATTCTCTTTAAATTACAGCAGTATCTGAACCGTTATGGATATTTATAATTTGATAGTCTTCTATTAAAGTATCATGGCCTGCCATTCAGGGAAAACAGCTGTCAAGTGGAAAAAATTTAGTGAAAGTACAAAACTCATTTTGCAGTGTGTTCCTAGTCATCTACATAAAATGAAACATCATGGGGTTTAGCTTATATTTGGATATACTAATGTCTGCTACTAAACATTAAGATGCCCTCTAAGGTTAACAATCCTTGGTTAATTTTAAGTTTTTTTGGGTTTTTTTTGGTTGGCTGGTTTTGGGTGGGTTTTGTATTTTTTTTTTGTTGTTTTTTAAAATTATTTTAATATTTTTTATCTTGGTTTAATGTTTTTGTTTTGTTTGGGGACTTTTTTGTTTTTGTTTCAGCTTTTTTTTTTTGGGTGTGGGTGTATGTAGTTGTTTGTGTTGTTTCTAAACACATTTTTGTAGTGTAGAATTGGTGGACAGTGTTTAGACAACAGGCCAGATGTACTGGGCTTGGTGTTTATTCATAGCTTTCCTTGACCTCTGTTCTACAGCAGCAGCTATTCCTTGCCACAGAAAGAGCTCAGGAAGAACGTCCTTCTATTCTACTTGCCCTCAGGCCATATTTCCTTTTTTCTTTTGTTCTCTGATTTCTCAAAGCTTTCTGCTCACACCCAGCATTAACATTTATACTGTCAGTCACCTCATTCTCCCTTATGCACCTTCGCAAAGCTTCTTTTCAAATCCCTTTTGACATCAACAGCAGAAAGCAGTGATGCACTTCCATGGTGTATAGCCTTTGAAGAAATTTTCTTGTTTTTTCACCTCTTGCAAGTCTTGTTCTTCCTGACTATCTGTAATGTAGGGGGGGAATGTTTTGTTTTGGTTGTTTTTTATTTTGTGGTGTTTTTTTGTTTTTTGCTTTTTTTTTTGTTTGGTTTAATTTTCGATGTTGCTGTGTTTGGTTGTTTTTTTTCTATGATTCAATACTTTTTGGCTATATAAAATAAACAAAAAAATTGAAAAAAATTCCCCAACCAACTTAGTATGATTCTGTGAATTTGCTAAGGTAATTTTCCTGACACTGTGATTTTTTCCAGTCAACATGGACCCCAGTGAAGATAATGGGCTTCTGGATCAAGCTGATGTTTTTTGGGTTTTGCTTGTTTCCCTGCCTCAAGTACCAAAGTACCTTTTCTGCACTAAATTTTAAGAGTAAGAGTTTGCTTGTCATTTGGTCAGTGCTTGAACTGCTTCCTACTTGTTGTCCATGAGTGTGGTTAGTGGCTGTGTAGTTCTCCCAACAAACTGTGATACAATGATGAGAGTAGTTGCTCTCTGAACATGGATGAATAATCCAATGAATAATCTGAGGCAAATATTTCAAAATCACAGTAGGAAGCTAAAT